AACGAATATGATATAATGATGCTAAATTTGGTAACATTTCGATATGAACAGATAGAGGAGGAATTCTGAAAGTAAGAAATAAGCTTACTATTGCATTCCAAGACTGAGGACTGCGGGTAGTTTTGGAAATTCGTACTTATGTGTACTTAATGGTACTAAATTTGGTATAATTTAAATTTTGGGAAACCAATATTGTATGTAGAGAGCTTTGGTAATTCGTACTCATATGTACAAAAGGGCACTGAATTTGGTACAAATTGGAATTGTGATGAATCGATGGAGCTTGAATTCTGAAATTTGGATTGAGAATCACTGATGGGGTTCAGGATAGTTGCACCAAAAGGTTATTGGAAATTCAAACAATAAATTTAGGAAACGTTCTAAAGTTTTACTAAACTTCTAAATTGGTACATTTTGGTATTATGTGAATGGATAGAGCTAAAAACATGTAATTTGTTATGAGAATCAATGTTAGAAAATCCTGTGCTGGCGGTTTTGGAAATGTGTACTAAATTTGGAACAATTTGGTTCATGGTGTACGGATGGAGCTGGAATTTTGAATTATTGTACGGCGCCCCTGTTGATGGTTGGTTTGTGATAAAGAGTGGTGTGTTGTTGGGTGAAGGGATAGGACGGGAATCCTTAAATTTGATAATGAAGTCTCTGTTGGTATCTGGCATCGAGATATGGAGATGGTTTTGGAAACGTGAATGTGAATGTACAGGGTGAGATGAAAAAACTGCAACCAATTTCTGTCTGCTGTCATTTCTAAGCCACACGTCCGACCGCTGTTAAAATTATTCCAGTGACAGCTCATTATATTGTTTACAAGCGTACGAAAGCATTTTGGTGAGAATTTTCCAGAAAAAAAGTTATTCGTTATGGAATTTAAGCGTTATAGTTTGATTTCTTTATATTTGGCTGGAAAATCTCAAGTGGCTATCGTCAGAGCACTCCAGCATTTAAATGTGAATTAATCTTTTATGTCTCGTACCATAGCTCGTTACCGTGATACTGGTAGTGTAACTCGACGTCAAGGAAGTGGACGGAAGAAAACAGCAACATCAGTAGAAATGGTTCGAAAAGTAAAGAAGTGACTTGATCGAAACCCGCGTCGCAGTGGCCGAAAAATGGCTTGTGAGCAATATTACATTCGACAAATATTGAAAAATGACCACGGGGTAAAGCCATTGTAATTCCAAAAACTGCAAGAACTTACACCGCAAATAAAAGAAAATAGACTCAAAAGAGTTAAAGAGTTGCTTTGCTTGACCGAAAGTGGTGAACTGCCGAATTTGATTTTCTCCGTCTCCGATGAGAAAACATTCGTTGTCCAGCAGTTTGTAAACAAACAAAATGATCGTGTTTACTTGCCAAAGAAGTCAGCTGAACTCAAGCGCCGGCCATGTTGATGATGTGGGTCGCCATAACAATCGATGGTCGCTCTCCTCTTGTATTAATCGACCATGACATCAGAATAAATGCCGAATATTATCGCGAAAATTTGGCCGCACACCTTAGACATTCCAACAGGACTCAGCACCATCGCACTCAACACGCACAACCCAAGAATGGTTACAAAATGTGGTTCCTCTCTTCATTTCCAGCGCACAATGACCACAAAAAGCTCTATATACCTTCACAAATGGGAGTATGAAACTGTCAGAAAACCAACGCATACTTTTTCCTTTCTTAATTGTAGTTAGTCATGAATTTCACTACAAACATTCAAATCTATTCTCCATACTTTTCTTTACAAGGTTACAATGTGTGTTACCCTCCGGATGGCGTGAACATTATAAATCACGATCGTTTTTTTGCCTGCCTACCTCTTCAGCAATCAACAGTGACGACGACATTGGTGGTCATAACTCAGTTACTGTGATTGCAACGGATCAACCCAATTTCATTTGGATGCTGCAAATCCGCGTCGTAATGAAACAAAATTCAATTAAACTCAATTCTTCTTCTTATTCTTTTATTTCTTTTATTGTTAATAATTCTACTCTTCCTTGATGGTATGTACGTTTCTGCCGCAAGTCTAGGTCAGTGTCTTACATTTTTGTTTTCATATTCACACTTTGAGCTGTCGAGCACGTCATTCACATATTTTCGTATACCGACATATGGATACAGCATCACTTGGCAATTGAAATTTAGTTCATCTTGAAATTTTGCACACACACACATACTTACTAAAAGAGCATATAGCCAACGCCGCAATCAAACGTCCAGAGTACATTGTTTTGAGATATTTTGTAGTTTTTGAAGTTTAAGTGTAATTATTTTGTAATTATTAGAACTTTTTCCATATTATTTGCATAATTTGCTGGGGTGCTGCTGTAGCATGGAGTGGATGTTTTCGCATCCATGGATGAGTGCATTTACATTACAGTGGAATATGAATTTTGAGTTGTGTTAAATAATAACCGCAGATTTCCGTTGGTTTTGAGTTGAATTTTATATGAGGGTTTTGATTTCTGTTTACATAGAGGGATTACAAGGTGAATAAAACGAAAGACTTAAACCACAAACTCGGAAAAATATTTTGCGGTTTCAAAATCTTGAGATTTAATCCTATTGTTATTGTTCTTTAAAAACCAGATTTTCCTATGGGTAAGGAAGGTAATACCATAGTTTCGGAAGCGCTGTTGTAAGACCTTAAAAAAATTTCAATAGTTTAGGTGATAATTTTATACCCTCAGTCAAACAGGGTGAGATAAAAAAACTGCCACAAAGACAAACGCCAAAATTTTTAAATTTTTTTAATTTTTTTAATTAATGTCGGAAATGGCATCAAATTTTAGAATAAGTTAAGATTTGTTCGATTTTGGCACGAATTGGGGCATTCAAACGGCCAATGGAAACGCTACACACTGCCCCAATGTTGCTCTGCCGTATTTTGGCCTATTCCCGTCGAAGCGTTTGCTTGAGGTGATCGACACTTTGGTAATTTTTAGTGCCAAACTTGATTTCAAAAATACTCTAGACAGAATTGTCAAACGGATTGGAGAAACCTCATTTTGTAACCATTCTTGGGAGGCGCGTGCTGAGTGCGATGGTGCTGAGTCCTGTTGGAATGTCCAAGGTATGCGGCCAAAATGTTTGTGTGCCCCAAGGCTTTACCACACCCTTCAGAATATTTTCGCAATAATATTCGGAATTTATTCTGATGCCACGGTCGATTCATACGAGCGGAGAGCGACCATCGGCTGGTATGGCGGCTCACACCATTATCATGGCCGAAGCTTGAGTTCTGGTGGCCAACCGAAGGTGCACATTTTCAGCTGACCTCTTTGGCAAGTAAAAACGATCATTTTGTTTGTTTACAAAACTGCTGGACAACGAATGTTTTCTCATCGGAGCGGAGAAAACCAAACCAAAACCACTTTCGGCCAAGCAAAGCAACTCTTTAGCTCTTTTGAGTCTATTTTCTTTGTGTTTCGGTGTAAGTTCTCTCACTTTTTGGAATTTCAATGACTTTGCCCCCAGCTCATTTTTCAATATTTGCCGAATGGAATATTGCGATGTGTTCAGCTCACGAGCCATTTTTCGACTACTGCGACATGGGTTTCGATCAAGTCGCTTCTTCACTTTTCGAACCATTTCTGTCTTCCGTCCACTTCCTTGACGTCGGGCTACGCTACCAGTGTCACGGTAACGAGCGATGGTACGAGACACAAAAGATTTATTCACATTTAAATGCTGGAGTTCTCTAACGATAGCCACTTGTGGTTTTCCACTCAAATATAAAGAAATCAACCTTGAATTCCATTACGAATAACTTTTTTTCTGGAAAATTCTCACTGAAATGCTTTTGTACGCTTGTAAACAATATAATGAGCTGTCACTGAAATAATTTTAACAGCTGTCGGACTAGTAGCTTAGGAATGATAGCAGTCTGAAGTTGGTTGAAGTTTTTTTCATCTCACAATGCATATGTTTCATCCGATTTATTCTTAAAGTCCCTCACATGCGTAATATGCACTCCACAATAATAATTTTTTATACGAAGCATCAGATACTGCTCAAAAATACCTCTGCCAAATTTTATCGAGATGGATACCTATTTTTATATAGCTTCGAACTCATACGATTTTACGATCATTGCTCACCATATATATCATACCAGTCCAATTTGAATAGATTTATTCATATTCAACCGAATTTTACCATTTGGTGAAACTCGGTCCGATATATCTACTGCTCCAATAAATACTTTTTAATATAATCCTTATCGAAGTCCTATTATGCACTATACAGCAATTGTATTTAGTTCATAGTTGGTATGATCTACTTCACATAAATTCCTAACATAAACTTTTTTGTTATGGGAGCTCTATTAAATAAGCATTGTGGCAAAGACCTAGAATGGTAAAGACTAGGCAAAATGCATTTTAAGCAAATGGTTTGTGTCTACAATACGTAGAGTAACAGCTCATGGCAGGGAAATGTTAATATAAAAACCACAATTACAGAAACGAATAACAAATAAATTTTTTAAAAATCAAAAATTTTGGTTTCAAAGTTTAATTCCATAGACCTTTCCAAAAATTTGCATTTTGCCTTAACGGTTTAAATCAGTCAACATTGGAAACTATGTTGTTATGATATCGTAACAACAGAGGTATTTTCACAGGGTTGCCATACTTTGACTCTGTCTTGTCCTATCTTTACACTTCTATGTCTTTGATTGTGGTGTAGGGCATCATATAGTCGACCCCGCCCTACTTTTGATCTTCCCTTACTGGTTAATATATGGTAACGCTGAGGGCAGTTGGTTTACGCTACCTCTTATTAGATAATTCGGCTCATTTATCTCCCAAATTTATTGCTATAATATGAAAAATCTCCAAAGTGACGTAGGGTATCAAACAATGCCCACAATTTTGAACCTACTTCCTGAAACAAATATGTATCACTTTTTATTATTTCCTCTCATTTAATCTGAAATTTGCATTTTAAAATAAATTTTATTCGGCAATAAAATAAATAAAATATTTCTTAAAATGAATCAAATACATAAATAATTTATTTCAAACATTTAAAATTAAAACAAATAAATAAACATAAAAAAATAAAATAAACAGTACAAACCCCTAAGCTTTATACTGATCCAAACAGTAGCCGGTTATTTGATCCGATATACAATCGAAAACATCGAATGCCAAATCACAACTTTCACCCTTTTCCGGCAGTTGGCGACGATTCACGTGATATTTGTTGGTGACAGCGCGCAAACACAAATTCACCGACCTTAGGGTGGCCATAAAGAAGCCATGTTCATTGACACCGCCCGAATAGAAATCCACCAAGCCATCCAATGTGGGCCAACCGTTTTTGTCAATGGCATTATTTTTGGCATAGACACAATGTAAGAGGCACTGAAAAAATACAAAAAAAACAAACAAAAAAACAGCAACACAAACGATTATTAAAATGTGGGCAAGGGGGTGCAAAGTTATTAACAAATTATTAAAAAAATTTAATTTATTATCTGACTTAATAAACAAATGAAAACGTTGAGAAAACAATGTAAGCTATGGTATTTTATATTGTTGTGAAAATGGTAATTGTTTACACTAGTCAACAAAAATGTAAAGAGATGTCTGCATAGATAAACATGTATGATAGGTGAATAGATAAATAAATATAAAATAGATAATAGCACAGATAGGGAGATAGATAGCTAAATATATAGAGAAATGGATATATTGCCAGAAAGATAATTAGATAGATAGATAGATAGATAGATAGATAGATAGATAGATAGATAGATAGATAGATAGATAGATAGATAGATAGATAGATAGATAGATAGATAGATAGATAGATAGAGAGGAGATATACAAAAACATAGAAAAACAACTAAACAAACTGTTAAAATCTTAAAAATACCGAATGTAACTTTTCTATTAGGGTCTATACGACGACGTGGACCTGTTATAGGCTGTAGTATCCATTACGCACTTCAAACACCAAATTTGAAACAATTCCGGTGAATAATGTTGCTAAAATCATCAAAATACCGAATATTGGGAGGTACCGTTATAGGGGGGCTATACGAAGACGTGGACCTGCACAGACAATTTTAAACATTTCCGGCCAATAATGTCGCTTAAATCATCAAAATACCGAATATTTGGAAGTTTCATTATATGGGGACTATACCAAAAAGTGGACCTACATGACCCATTTTCAATACCAAAAGTTCGGCAGATATAAATTTGAGTAAAATTTCACAACCTACTTCATTTCATTCGAAAGATAGACTGATTTCCACAGATGGATAGACGGACGTGCATTGCTAAATAGACATAGATTTTATGCTGATCAAGAATATATACTCTGTGGGGTCTAAGATGTATATTTCGAGGTGTTACAAACGGAATGACAAACTTAATATACCCTCCATACTATGGTGAAGGGTATAATAAACAAATGGATAGATTGAATGACATAAAAACATAATACAATGTCGAACAAATTTTTTTCGGGAAAAATAAATGGATAATCAAAACTTCATACATTGTACTAAATGTTCAGACTTTCAAGGTGCTATATATTGTTCAAATTTTTCCTTTCATTTTAAAGCTTTTCAAGGAGGGTATTAGTAAAAAACTCACATCCATTTTTTTTTTTGTCCAAAACTATTTCAACATCTCCTACTGTAAACCCTGGAAACCAACAGCGACCTCAATATCAAACTTTAGAATTTAGGTTATATCCCTTCAACCAATACGCGCATATCCAAAACAATATACATCTATCCATTTTATACACCAGCAATGATCCAAAAATTGTACCATTTAGTACTTTTCGAACAATTATAGTACCCATTTCCAAAACCACCTTCATATTTAAATCCCAGATGCCAACATAGACTTGTATAAGTTTGATACGTTCCATCTTAACTTCCCGAGTTCAGTCAATCACGGATGCTGATTGATACCACAGGCATCACCTCGACAAACTTCCCTCGGCGGAGACCGTAGAGTGCAGATGCCAACGGACGGTGTTTGTTGAGTTTGCTCTTCTCGATTTACCCTTTCTCTTATTTGAATATTTGGTTGTAGTAGTAATCGACAAAGATCCTAGGCGATCACCACGATCCTCTGTGATTGCAAGAACTTCGGCGTTCACTTGTCCTTCTGTTCTCGAAGTGTGCACTCAACGTGCACTACCCAACGGCAGGTGGTTGTTGAGTTTGCTCTCCTTGTTTTACCCTTCCTGCTATTCGAATATTTGGTTGTAATAATAATGGACAAAAATCCTCGGCGATCATCGCGATCCTCTGTGACTGGAAGAACCTCGACATTCACTTGTCCTTCTATTCTCGAAGTGTACACTCAACGTGCACTAACCCACTTGTATCGCGGTTATACTATATATACTAATTTTTCCTGTATTTTATTTCTTTCTACTTTTCTTTCTTTTTATACCATCACCAAACACGCGAATCACCCTCACCTAATAACCTCTCACCATCACATAATAATTCTGGAAAGTTATTGTTGTTGCCGCTGTCGAAACTTTCCTCCCCTTCCCTGAGTTAAACAGATCTCAATGTCAAATTTCGGGATTCCAGGTCTATCCTTTCACCCAATATCCAATTTAGTACCACTTATTACTTTTCGAATAATTTTAGTACTCATTCTCAACATAATCTCAATATCTCAACCTCAGATACCAACACTGACCTAAAAATAAAATTTCAGAATTCAGCTCTAAAATTTCAACTCAATACCAAATTTAGTACTATTTTTTACTTTAAGTACAAAACAATCTCAATCAAATCTCAGGATTTCAAATTTCAGGATTTCAGCTCTATTCCTTCATCCAATACCAAAATTTTAGTATTTTTCAAACAATTACAGTAAACATTTCCGAAACCACCTTCATATCTCAATTTCAGATACCAACAGAGACCTCAATATCAAATTTGAGGATTCCAGCCTTATCATTTCATCCAATAACAAATTTGATACAATTTACTACTTTTCGTATAAATATATAATGAATTTCCAAGCCACCGCGAAATCTCAAAAACAGATACCCTCTGTTACCTACATATCAAATTTCAGAATTTTATCTCTATCCCTTCACCCAATACAAAATATAGTACCATTGGTACTTTTGTGAACTTGTACTACATATTTCCCAAACCACCTCTATATCAAAAACCTACCACCAACTAAGACCCCAATATAATATTTCAATATTCCAGCTTCATCCGTTCACTTTTACCCAAACGGTTCCAAATTTAGTACTATTTAATGCAGTTCGCACACTTATTGTACATTTCAAAAACCACCTCCATATCCGAACCACAGACACCAACAGTGATATCCCTATTATAATTTTAAGAATTTCGGCTCTATTCTTTCACCCAATACCTAATTTTGTACGATTTAGTACTTTTCGTACAAATATAGGACGCATTTCCAAACTCACCGCCAAATCTCAACCACAGATACCATCAGTAATCTAAATATCAAATTTCCGAGTTTAGTACCTTTCGTGCAATTATTGTACACATCTCCGAAACCACCTCCATATGTCCAGGCTACACATAAACAGCGATATTAATACCAAATTTCAGATTTTAAGCAGCATCTTTTCACCTAATACCAAATGTTACCACGTATCGTACTACTTAGTACTTTTTGTCACTTATAGTACAAATTTCTGAACCTACCTCCATATGTCCAGGCTACACATAAACATCTGGATACTAATACCAAATTTCAGATTTTAAGGAGCATCTGTTCATCCAATAGTACTTTTCCTTCAATTGTAGTACTCATTTACAAAACCACATTTTTATCACAAACCTAGCAGCAATACAAAATTTCAAAAAATCCAACTCCATCCGTTCACGTTAAACTAAACTGCTCGAAATTTAGTACTATTTAATACAGTTCGCACTCTTAGCACAAATTTCCAATACCACCTTCTTTTACTAAATTTACTTTGCAACCTTGATTCTCATACCAAATTTCAAGTTTTTAGCTCTATCCGTTCACATAATTCCAAATAGTACCATTTTAGAGCTTTTCGTACCCTTAAAGTTTAAATTTGCAAAAACCCTTTGGTACACCTATCCTGCACTCCATTAGTGACTCTCATTCCAAATTTGTCCAAGACAAAGTATTTAATTAATAGATTTAAGTACTTTTCGTACCCTTTTTAGTACGAATTTCCAAAAGCTTCACACCAAGACTGACCCTTGTTCAAAATTTTAAGATTCTGGTTCAACCGTTTCGCGTAGGTGTTGATTCTCAGTCAGTCAGTTATCTCACTACTCTTAGCAATATAGATATATAAGTAGAAAGGTAAAATATAAGTTGTTACAAAATAGTCAAGATTAATCCCATTATTATTGTTTCTTAAAAACAACGTTTGTTTATTAGTGCAGACAGATGGTAAAATCGGGTAAAATATAAGTATACACCATCTGTTGCTCAGTGTCTATTTGTCTATTTGTTAACAAAAATGCAGTGGATATTTTTAATAAATTTTATTTCTAAAATCTTTAAATGAAAAGAGCCCTGACTTTGTAGTAATTTTTGGTTGCGTGACTCTAATAAGTCGTCTTCTCAACGCTTCTCGTCTTGCCCTAAAGCGTTTTAATTGTTTAACATTCGCCAACACGAAGGTGATGATGATGATGAACTTTGCCAAACATAAAACTAATGGCTGCATTGTGTCTGCCAATGAGATTCTTTTTTATTTCAGAGAACCGCAACTCTAAGAAATATTCATTCATTTTAGCATTGATAATTTAATTAATCTCATATTTTTTCTATAAATAAAACAAAACGAAAAACGCAACTTAAAATTCAAAATTCTCATTCTCAGGTCAAAAGTTCGTTACGTTGTTTGGTTTTGTTTTGAGATAAATCTTAATTATCAATAATAATATTATTTTGATTTAATAACTTTACAAACGAATATTTTTCTACCCCCACCTTCTCTCTCCTTTTCAGATTGCAGATAAAAATAAAAAAAAACATAATTAATCGCATTCTAACAAGCAAAGTGACGCTAATAATGTTAATAAAATAATTAAATGTTATGTCAAATTTAATAAAGAAATTAAAAATCTCTTCGAAAAAAAACTGTTTGTTTAGCGACAACAACACATTTGTTTTACCAAAAAGTAAAAAAAGAACTATTTTGTACAAAATTCTGTAATTAATTAAGAATTTTTCGTAGCCAAATGTCCAAAGTCATTAATCATAATTGTATTTAAGGGGGCGATGATGGATTTGTACAAAACTCTATATGATGAGATGGGTTGATCTCGTGTTTAGATGAATTTGAACAAAAACATTTTTTTTTTTAAATATCACGGGAACTTCTGGTCTGCTAATCGAAAAGC